TTATAACTATTAGCACACAGCAGCTATCTTTGTTATTTTATAATCGCGTTATTTTGTGATTTTATTTCAAGTGGTGAGGACTGTATGATGTTTTTCTCAACATACAGTCAAGTCTTGTTAATCCGACAATCGGCTTCATCTGACACTAATGATGGTAACCGATCTAATCAGTGCTATTTAGACCCGTTAATCCGACAGTCTCGCACTCCAACTCCGACATACCTAATTTGCAACAAATTACTGAAATCACTCATTAGTCAGTCTCGTTAATCCGACACAGTGATCAGCGTACTCTGTGGTCATCTGCCTGCGAGCACACAGCCCGTGTTTTGATGCGAGACGAGTCGGCTTGTAGCTGCATATTACAATGGCTGCAGAGATAAACTTGCTTCACAAAAAAAATTAATGCTTTAAATAAACAAAACAGGATTAATCAGATGCTTCGATTACCTCAAAACATATTCCGCTAAGAATGTAACATAATAAAATGAATATTTCATTTTAATTTTATTATGTGTTTGTATCGTATCTATCGTGTAGTTGTCCATTTTTTTATCACGAACGTTAATACTACTTAATTTCGTTTATCCGACATACTCGTTAGTCTGACATAATCATATGCAACCAACCATGTCGGATTAACGGGACTTGACTGTATTTTTTTCAGGACATCACTATGTCCAGCAAACGATAAATTTCTTTGGGTACAACCTGAGAAGCTTTTGAGTTAACAGGCTAGTTGCCATGTCTACCCTTGTGTGACATGTGGAGTTGTCTGCTTCTAGGGCTGGGATGAGTCCAAATTTACTACCCGGGTATCCCACCCCCTGTTACCTGTTACCCATTGCAGGTCTCAAGAGTTGGGAACAAAATGTCTGATTGGGAATTTTTTTACCGCAGCTCTGGCAAAAACTGTTTATATACATGTATAAAACGATTAGATTGTGCATACACGGAAGTTGACTGAAGCTTTATCTTTGCTCAAGCATATGCAAGTCAAAGGGAATGTGTGCATCGTCAGAAAGAAATGCGAACATTAGCGACATGTTGTGTAACCACTGAGCTATAGTGAGTTTTTATCATTAAACTATATCACATGACTAACCGTGGGTCGGGGTAGTCCTGTGGGCACCAGGGTCCTACTCAGGACCCACCCGACATGAATACCTAAGATACACGGGAACATGGTCACAGTTACTTTCTAAAGGGGCGTTGGGGTAGCCTAGTGGTTAAAGCATTCTCTCATCATTCCGAAGACCCAGGTTCAATTCCCCACAATGTCTAAAGCCCATTTCTTGTTTCCTCCGCCTTGATATTGCTGGAATATTGCTAAAAGCGGCGTAAGACCACACTCACTCACTCACTCACTCACTCACTCACTCACTCACTCACTCACTCACTCACTCACTCACTCACTCACTCACTCACTCACTCACTCACTCACTCACTCACTCACTCACTCACTCACTCACTCACTGTTCTGTATGTCTTCATCTTCCTGAGGCAAGAGAGTTAACTGACTTTAAAAGTCCAGTTTCCACCCTTGCCTGACTAGGCTGGAATTACTGGGCTCGATCGTAGCGCCACCAGTGGCTATTACCAGTTATGTTTCTTCAAAGCCTCTCCTATCATGCCTATGGACCAATCAGATTCCACCTCTCGTATCACTTGTGTTTGATTCACACAAAATGGTTGCGCCCAGTCAGGATGATCTGATCAGTGATCAAGATCTATATTGTGATAAAACGGGTCTTACATCGCGAAATGCATCAATCTAGTGAGCACCTTGATTAAAAACATGAAAAGATTTGGAAAATATCTGCTGACAACGAGTTGGCAGTGCACATGCTTTTTTGCAAATCCTGCAATCGACTGAAATCTGCACGACAGTTTACGAACCGGATTTCGATTTCGGTGCGCGATTTTGATTGGACTATGCATAGACTCGTCAGTCCAGCCAAAATGTAACTCCATAATACCAGCCTAGTTCGGCAAGGGTGGAAACTGGACTTTTATAGTCAGTTAACTCTCTTGCCTCGGGAAGATGGTATGTCTTGGAAATAGATACCTTCTATGTGTCGTCGTGACCTTGAAAGTATTGATACAGCTTTGTGAAAAAGCGGTGTGTGTTTTTAATGTGGCAACTCACGTTCAGTAATTGTGTATTTTGTTTAAAATATTGCACCAAATAATGATGTAATACATCTGCTTTTAGTATTCCTGATCAACTATTAAATTTCTGAATGCATAAATGTTTGGTATGCTTCAAAAAGGGGTGTGGCACACCTGCATCCCAGTCTCACAGTCCCTGAACCATAATTTTTTCCCTTCCACCCAGCCCTTACTGTAATGCTTTCAGTGTCAATGTAGATGCTTCTATCTTTCAAAATTATGGGGCGGTCGGGTAGCCTAGTGGTTAAAGCGTTTGCACGCCACGCCGAAGACCTGGGTTCGATTCCCGACATGGGTACAATGTGTGAAGCCCATTTCTGGCGTCCCCTGCCGTGATATTGCTGGAATATTGCTAAAAGCGGCGTAAAACCATACTCACTCACTCACTCACTTATTCACTTTCAAAATTATATATTTTCAGAGACTAAACATTTAGTCTACCCTGCATTCCACATGTGGATCTCTGTATGGGATGGGATGTTTCCTATCTGTGCTCTCTCAGTATATCAGCCCATTGCCATTACTGTGACGGCCACAGCTACTACACTGACACAGGCAACAGCAGCTGGTCACACTTGTGCTTCACACCGACACTGGTTGTGTTGCATGCTGTTGTTTGCAGGACGAGTCTCTGAAAGCATCACATTGATTGATGTCCACGAGGTGCATGATCAGCTGGTGATTGTTAACAGGATCATGGTGGCTATAGGCTGATAGTTTTACATTACCTTTGTTGGGAAGTGTCAGCATGGTGAAGTGGATTCATCCTATTGAAATCATGTGTTGTTCGATATTACGATCATCTGAAATTATGGTTATTATTTAGCTTCATTTGTCTCCATATATAGCAAATATCACTGTGGGCGCTTATTAGAGCAGGGTGCTTATTACGTCGAATACGGTAATTGGTAAATATTTTTAATTGTCAAAATAGATCTTTAGATTGTAAAATTAGCTAAGATCATGTAGATTGTGAAAGTCAATAACAAAACAAGCAATAAGATAGTAACAACAGTATAATTTTCAATTTCTTCAACAAACATACAAGACACAACTCTCCCTATGATAGCGCAAACATAGGAAAATATCATTCCCTGGATAAGGGACCCGGATGTCTCAACTTGCTGTGCAGAGTGGCAACCCTTAGGCATATCAGAAGCCTATGATTGTGGGTTCGAATCCCACATTCATCTGATTATGATCATGGTGTGTGGGTATCATACATGTGCTGTGAGTTTCACCAAAATGGTAAAAGTTGAACACCTGCATCTCTTAGGGCATAGCTTCCACATGACACTGCGATACTGTGATAGATCTGAAATATTTTTTAATGGGGTCAATATCCATCTCTCTCACTCACTGACTCACTGACTTACTCACTCAGTCACTCACTCACTCACTCACTCACTCACTCACTCACTCACTCACGGGCATGTTTGTATGGAGCTTCCAGGGCATGTACTCTTTCTTCTTTTAAACTGGGGATTGAATGGATACAATGGCTGCTGAGCATGTAGGGCAGTGATGGACATGGAACAACTCTGAGTGTTTGATGCATATTCCTGTTCTTGTTTAACACAAGCATGTGAAACAATTGATGTGCATGAAAGTGAAAAAAGAAAACGTTCGTTTTTGGAAGCTGTAGATATGACTCAATGTTTGAAATTTAACCATGAAAGTCAAGGGGTCCTAATGGTAAAAGTTAAGAATAAAGAGTGAGTGAGTGAGTTGGGTTTAACGCCGCTTTTAACAGTATTCCAGTTATATCACGGCGTGTCAGCTTAATGTGGGAGGAAAGCCCGAAGTGATGCAGGTCTCAGACGTTTACCTCTTCGGCGAAACCCACGAGCACGGGTATGGTGCTGACAAACCTAGAAACATAATCGGGGCGAACCAGGATTCGAACCCACAATCATAGGTTTCTGGCGTGCTCAAGGGACGCAACTCTGCACAGCGAATCGCGGCGCCTTAGACGACTGGGCCACCCATGCCCCCTAAGAATAAAGAGGGTCCCTAGATTTGAATATATACGGACTGACCTAAGAACCCCAGGACCATTCACCATGTTTAGAACACTTTATATAATGATTAAATAGTGACTCTGGGTTTTGACATTTCCTTATATGTCACATCTTTGTTAAGCATAGATATCGCAGTTTAAAGAGTTGTGTCCCTTGGGTGTGCCAGAATCCTGTGTTCATAGGTTTGAATCCAGGTTCACTCAGATTGTTTCTGGGTTTGCTGGTACCATATCCTTGTGTGAAGGTATCACCAAAGTGGTTAAGGTCGAAGACCTGCATTACATCTGTTTTTTCTCCCGCATTAAGCTGACATATGTGATATGACTAACTGACCGCCTCTGTGCTCTAGTGGATTGAACGTGCGCCCGGAGAGTGCAAGGTCAGTAGTTCAATCTCCGTCCGCATCGTATGAAAAGACGTTATAAGATGGTACTTGTTGTTACCCTGAATGCCCCTCGACATTAAGGCATCTATACTGGCCGCTCGACATTAAGGCATCTATACTGGCCGCTCGACATTAAGGGGATAAAACAAGGACTGGTTGGCTCAGAATCAGTATACTGTCTGAGTAGGATATACATGTTAAACTGTGGCATGGGATCTCGGTTATCTAGCATACAAAACCGGCATAAATCTGGACTAGTACCAGCAGCCACAAACACACATGTGCATGATAGGCGCTATATACATGCAATAATCTTGAATGTGACGTTAAACCCCATTTCACCTCACCGTGACATACTCAAATACTGTTCTAAGCATTAAACCCAACTCACTCACTCACTCCCTCTCACTGTGTTTGCCCAGGCTGATGAGTCGACAGAGGAGTACACCATCACAGAGAAGATAGCGCGGGAGTGTAGCAAGATGCTGGCAGAGGTAAGATCACCCCTCCTGTAGACATGGTAGATGCCTATAGTGTAGACTCTATACACCTAATATATACACACTGTTTCAAGCAAGGAACTTGCCTATCACTGATGGTACTAACAAAAATTAATTCTATTTCAAAATTAGCTTTTATCATCAAGGGCTGATCCAGCATTTTTTAAAGGGAGGGGTCCAAAATATCAAAATCCTCTCAGATAATTTTACCGCATTTGGTTTTATACATCCTCTGGATCCACCTAGGATCATTTAGTTTTGGCCATGAAATAGGTTTTTGTTTTTGTTTTTGTTTTGAAATATGATATGTAGTTGGGTAAAAAGATCTTCACATAGAATGTTATTGCCTCATGATAACTTTAAACTGACAAGACATTGCATTGACTTGTGTATATTATAGCGATTTCTTTAAGAAGTCAGAGATGTGATTTCATGAGTCAGTGACTCATTTAATATAATTAAGATCATTTTAAAATTCTAATTAACATGTGAGTAGCCTTCATAAGAATGATGGATTAGTTTGATGTTAATTTCGCTATGCTGGATGCATCACAAAGGGCATTGTGTGCATCTTGCTTGTACTTATCAATAGTGTGATCATCTTTCTTTGACTTGTTACTTTAGTGTAACACTCTAACTGCATGCTGATTGGTCGTTACTTTAGTGTTTCATTGTCTGTCTGACAGGGGGACTCCTGTTACAGCGGTCTGTTTGCATGATCTCACTTCAAGATGATTTCCATTTCAGCATTAAAAATAACTAACTAGTCTTTGTGTTTATTTTTCTGAAGACACAATCATTGATAGTATTATATGTCAGCTATACAGTGAAACCCTGTTAAAAACTGAAATCATCAGGGTGTTTTAAGGCGCATTAGATGCCATCCTGAAATTTAATCTGGGGCCCGTTCTACAAAGGGATCTTTTGATACTCGTTATGCTAAGATGTTCGTAACTCCCATATTGCCTTACGATACTCATTATGCTAAGATGTTTGTAACTCCCATATTGCCTTACGATACTCATTATGCAAAGATGTTTGTAACTCCCATATTGCCTTACGATACTCATTATGCTAAGATGTTCGTAACTCCCATATTGCCTTACGATACTCATTATGCTAAGATGTTTGTAACTCCCATATTGCCTTACGATACTCATTATGCTAAGATGTTTGTAACTCCCATATTGCCTTACCATACTCGTTATGATAAGATGTTCGTAACTCCCATATTGCCTTACGATACTCATTATGCTAAGATGTTTGTAACTCCCATATTGCCTTACGATACTCATTGTGCGTAACTCCCATAAGTGCGATTCACATTGTGCTAAGATGATCATAGCGCCCATATATACTAGCCGTTGTGCTAAGACGATCATAGCTCCCATATATACTAGCTGTTGTGCTAAGATGACCATAGCTCCCATATATACTAGCCGTTGTGCTAAGATGATCATAGTGCCCATATATACTAGCTGTTGTGCTAAGATGACCATATCTCCCATGTATACTAGCCGTTGTGCTAAGATGATCATAGCTCCCATATATACTAGCTGTTGTGCTAAGATGATTATAGCTCCCATATATACTAGCCGTTGTGCTAAGATGATCATAGCTCCCATATATACTAGCCATTGTGCTAAGATGATCATAGATACCATATATACTAGATGTTGTGATAAGATGATCATAGCTCCCATATATACTAGCTGTTGTGATAAGATGATCCTAGTGCCCATATATACTAGCTGTTGTGATAAGATGATCCTAGTGCCCATATATACTAGCTGTTGTGATAAGATGATCATAGTGCCCATATATACTAGCTGTTGTGATAAGATGATCATAGTGCCCATATATACTAGCCGTTGTGATAAGATGATCATAGCTCCCATATATACTAGATGTTGTGATAAGATGATCATAGCTCCCATATATACTAGCCGTTGTGATAAGATGATCCTAGTGCCCATATATACTAGCTGTTGTGATAAGATGATCCTAGTGCCCATATATACTAGCTGTTGTGATAAGATGATCATAGCTCCCATATATACTAGCCGTTGTGCTAAGATGATCATAGATACCATATATACTTGATGTTGTGATAAGATGATCATAGCTCCCATATATACTAGCCGTTGTGATAAGATGATCCTAGTGCCCATATATACTAGCTGTTGTGATAAGATGATCCTAGTGCCCATATATACTAGCTGTTGTGATAAGATGATCATAGTGCCCATATATACTAGCCGTTGTGCTAAGATGATCATAGCTCCCATATATACTAGCTGTTGTGCTACGATGATCATAGCTCCCATATATACTAGCTGTTGTGCTAAGATGATCATAGTGCCCATATATACTAGCTGTTGTGATAAGATGATCATAGATCCCATATATACTAGCTGTTGTGATAAGATGATCATAGCTCCCATATATACTAGCTGTTGTGATAAGATGATCATAGTGCCCATATATACTAGCTGTTGTGATAAGATGATCATAGTGCCCATATATACTAGCCGTTGTGCTAAGATGATCATAGCTCCCATATATACTAGCTGTTGTGCTAAGATGATCATAGCTCCCATATATACTAGCTGTTGTGCTAAGATGATCATAGTGCCCATATATACTAGCCGTTGTGATAAGATGATCATAGTGCCCATATATACTAGCCGTTGTGCTAAGATGATCATAGCTCCCATATATACTAGCTGTTGTGCTAAGATGATCATAGTGCCCATATATACTAGCTGTTGTGCTAAGATGATCATAGCTCCCATATATACTAGCTGTTGTGATAAGATGATCATAGCTCCCATATATACTAGCCGTTGTGCTACGATGATCATAGCTCCCATATATACTAGCCGTTGTGCTAAGATGATCATAGCTCCCATATATACTAGCCGTTGTGCTACGATGATCATAGCTCCCATATATACTAGCCGTTGTGCTAAGATGATCATAGCTCCCATATATACTAGCCGTTGTGCTAAGATGATCATAGCTCCCATATATACTAGCCGTTGTGCTACGATGATCATAGCTCCCATATATACTAGCCGTTGTGCTACGATGATCATAGCTCCCATATATACTAGCCGTTGTGCTAAGATGATCATAGCTCCCATATATACTAGCCGTTGTGCTACGATGATCATAGCTCCCATATATACTAGCCGTTGTGCTAAGATGATCATAGCTCCCATATATACTAGCCGTTGTGCTAAGATGGCTTTGAGGAACGGGTCCAGGGTGATGTGATCTTTGCTTGTAAATCCTGGATCAATGGGGAGTTGCTGTATTTCTGTATGATCTTGCAAGGAATTTTTTTGGCAGTCACATGAATTACCGGTCCATGCCTAATTTTACCGGTATAAAACTGGTAATTACCGGTAAATGGGAACACAAGTTACCTCGTATTATTATATCATTAATCATGTTCAATTAACATGTTTGATGTTATTTCCTTTTAGAGTTAGACTGCATTTTGTTCGAGTTCTGATATGCTTCTTGACTCAGCTTAACATTTTGCATGCTGAATGAACATAGTCAGGGGTCGTTTGACTGCCGGAGCATCGACCATGTTGACTGACATTAATACTTTGACTTGTGCATGATGTTCTGATGTTTGTGCATGATGTTGATTTCTTGTAGGAGGTTAACAAACTGCAGTTTGAGCTTGAATGGCGGGAGACATCGTTCATGGACAGCCAGCAGACATGGGCTGTTCGCTTTGATAGGTAACCCACGTGTCTTGCGTGTCGGGGAACATCCTTGCTTTGGTGTTTTTGCTTGGTAGATAGTAAATTTTTTTTACTTCATTTTCATTTTTCTGAAACATATCTGATACGGTTTTATGTTATTGTGCTGCTGGGAAACACATGGCTAGATTTAAGAATATGCAATGTATGTTTATCTCCCCCCCCCCCCCCCCCCCACACACACACACACACACCACACACACACACACACACACCTTCAAAAGACTTCAAATTTTGAACCACCTCCGTTTATAGTCCTGGATCTACATTTGTATCATCAGTAATTGCAGCAGGTACCAACTCACTCACCTGATAAGGCACCTTGACTTAAACCCTGTGAAGATCTGTGTTACAATAGGTCTCCAGCAACCGTTGCTTGCTGTAACAGGTGACTATGCTTGTCGTAACAGGTGACTATGCTTGCCGTATCAGGCGACTAACAGGATCAGGTGGTCAGGCTCGCTGACTTGATTGATGCATGTCATCGTATCCCAATTGCGTGGATCGATGCTCACAATGTCAGTCACTGGATTGTCTGGTCCAGGCTTGATTATTTACTGACCGCCATCATACAGCTGGAATATTGCTGAGTGTGCCAATAAACAAATAAACAAGCACGCAAACCAACCTTGACTTAGAATGGAGTAGGGGGGCACGGGTGGCCCAGTCGTCTAAGGCGCCGCGATTCGCTGTGCAGAGTTGCATCCCTTAGGCACGCCAGAAACCTATGATTGTGGGTTCGAATCCTGGTTTGCCCCGATTATGTTTCTAGGTTTGTCAGCACCATACCCGTGCTCGTGGGTTTCACCGAAGTGGTAAACGTCTGAGACCTGCATCACTTCGAGCTTTCCTCCCAGATTAAGCTGACACGCCGTGATATAACTGGAATACTGTTAAAAGCGGCATAAAACCCAACTCACTCACTCACTCACTCAGGGTGGTCCATCTACAGCACTGTATCACAGACAGACTTGTAAACCATGAATATTCCGTTTTGTATTGCGCACGATGCATGTTTAGTGTAGACAACAGCATACTGTATGTTCAAATCACTGTGTTGGCCATCTTGTTAGAGTACAGTGGAATCTGTCCGAATGAGACTTCTTTGGGACTGAATGTAATGCTCTTCAGACAAGGTCACGATTCGTGAGATTATAGGAGACAAGAAATAGGAAATAAGAATAAGGTTAAAAGAAGTATTATTTATCAAAGTATACTACTTGGCTTTTGATAGGGATACAGGTATATACATTACCATATTCGACGTAATATTAAGTGCCCACTGTGATAATTGCTAATATATTGGCTAGTGAACAATCCCAATTAGTACCCCTTCCGATTGATCAATGTTCACAAGACTTATTTATTCGTGTATAATATGCACTCGTGTGTTATATGCACCCTGGAAAATATAACTGTCGTGTCTGATACGCACATACTTTTCTTTTGTATCATTTCAGGCTGTCAGCATAAACTACAAAATTTACGATCTTTCAACAATGTTTTTTCTCTCTCACCAAAATTATATTCTAATAAGAGCCCCCTATTTCTAATTTTGAGAGCGACCCGGGCGCTTAACATGTCGAATACGGTATATATTATTTCAAAACAAAGAACATCAAGTAAGGATAAGATTTGTGGACAGACAACTTCTTTATTACAACTAGGAGCGACATTATCAAGTACTTCAACTTCTAAATGCCTCTCAAAGAAATTACGAAGAACATCAGTTAAGGGAATGTTTATGTTCTTAATCTTAATGATGTTGAAAATTACTCATTTCCAAGACAATATTGAATACTATTTGTTTGACAACTTCTTCCAGTGATTAGTCATGTTGTTGGTGCCTGAAAAATCAGGATGTCCCTATAACAAGTGGAGTGGTATATGTTCAGGTCTGTAATTTGGGATCTGGTATTGTCAGGAACCCGGATTAGTCTGTGTCCAGTTTGGACAGGTTCCACTGTACAAATGGTAAATGAAGCCTACAGTCAGATTGCTTGTCACGTGTCAGATATGTGTGATGCCACAATCGAACTTGGCTTTTTGTCTCTCCTTGCTGGTGATGTACTTAGCATGTTTAGAATGCACTGTTTATAATCAGCCTCAGAAAGTCATGTTTTCATGAGACTAGTCCAGAGGACTTGCTGTAAAAGGTGACAATGCTTGTCATAAGAGGCGACTAATGGGTTCGGATGGTCAGACTCGCTGACTTGGTTGATGCATGTCATTGTATTGTGTGGATCGATGCTCATGATGTCAATCACTGGAATGTCTGGTCCAGACTTGATTATTTACAGTCTGCTGTCATATAGCTGGAATATTGCTGAGTGCGGCGTTAAACAACAAACAAACAAAACAGTTCAATGTGTAGCAAAATTGAAGCATTGAGAACCAGTTCAGAATGCTACTAGTCAGTGAGGACTACGATCATTGGATGTTTACTTGTCCTCAGCAAAGTTTAGTAGTCTCGGGCTAGCAGGCAAGCATGAAATTGGAAATTGGAATTTGGGGCACCTTGTTTTGCATGGTTCACACAGATCCTTGTATTAGTGTTACAGTTACCTGAGAAAAGTATGTAAAATATATGGGGGCTTGCTCCTTGCTTTCATGTGAAGAACTGGATCTCTGGCTGATATTGTTCTCGTGTTTCACATACAAAATATTTGGTTGTTTATTAGAATAAAAGGAAATTTGGGAAATGTTAGCCTACCCAATTATTGGCAAATGTTCGTGAAATTGTTTAACCATGGAACCATCAAACCAAAGAGCATAACCAAGATAGGAAACTCCTTTTTTTTAAAAATTGTAGGTGTTTTTTAGTCTGCAAGAATATTTTGGTGTTTGGGAAAAGAAAACGATGAATAATACACTGGAAACTGGCATCCATTAATTACAGTGCATTTCCTGATAATGTCTGGTCTCAATGGTCAAGTAATGAATAAATAGGAAAAGAAATATATTATGTCGTAATTATGGTAATATATCTTGTCGTATGATCAACATAATGTTTCATCTTGTTACTGATTGATAATGTGAAGATTAATGTGTTTCCCAGCTTTGACCTGTAGCTAGCTCCCTGCAGGTGCCTTTCTATATCTGTGGGGTTGCTTGTGGTGGTTGGTGATTGTCTGTCTGTGTGGTGCAGGATAGCGCGCTCGACCTGGCCGGGGACCTGTCGGGGGACCTGTCGGGGGACCTGTCTGCAGGTGGCGGTGATGTAGAGGAGGGGGAGAGGCCCCCCCATGAACTACTGTGGGATGATGAGGCACTCTTACAGAGGTAAACCATGACTGGCAGATGATGAAGTGGTTCAGCATCACCAAGGAATGATGGTTGCTTGTTTTATTTCATTTTTCAAGGTGTTCAGGTTTTCTTGCATCAATTTCATGCTCATTTTGAGATTTATTATTTATTATTATTAATTGGTTTGTATAGCCTCAAACCCATATTAGGAAAATATATTGTATTATCTAGGGCTGGCTAGAAAGATCGATAATCGGAATCATCGTCAATGGAAAGAAATATTAACAATTATATAATATATAGTATAAAGATTATGTAATTGATCATATCTTACATGAACAATTGTGATGAAATAAAGTTTAAATTTACTGAAACAGACCAGTTATTGTCAATCATGTCAATTGCCAAAGACGGTAAGCAACTGTTTTTGTTATAACTTAAATGTCCACAGACTGATCCATGCATAAAGGTGTCACCACTCACCAGTGGCATGAAGTGTGTTGATTTCTTTTGGACTTTTTTGCATATTTGCTCAAAGTTTCTTCTCCGATATTTATCCATAATTGATAAATATCTAGTTAACAATTATCGATCTCTATGATCTATATCGACAGCCAGCCAGCCCTAGTATTATCCCTAGGGGGCTGTGACTGAAATTTGAGTGTACACTGATCCATAATAAGAAAGTAGTGCCATTGGTGCTCATTTGGTGACTAAAACCTGACCCATTGTAAATGGATGTATTACTGTAGTACAGAAGTGGATTGTATTGAAAAAAACTGTAAAGTTATTAGTTATGGTTACAAAAAGTTCATGGAATTGATTTGATAATTGTATTCATATGTCATAATTCTGACTTTTGACAAATAGCTGCACAATGAAAATCATTACTTATTGTTATAATAAATATTCCTGCTGATAATGGCTCTGTTTTATATTGCTTCTTGCAAGTGTCAGATTTTTGTGTTATTGTCCGAAAGGGACATACTAACCATAAAATAAGGTCTTATTGCATAATGGACTCGGTAAAATAAAAAACAGAAGAAAGATTTACCTTCTGCAAAGCACAGGGGTAATAGATCCCCCTCCACAAACTATGTTTTAATGCACCAGTACTCCTGGCTGTTTACCCCAATGACCTGGTCTTATTAAGTGATGACCGTTTCTAGTATTATGGGGTACAACGGCGGGGTGACAGGTGTTCTGTGTCTGACAGTGAAGTGCTGACTGCCATGTGCTGTGTTGCAGGGTTTGCCAGGAGAACGGTCTCCTCATGTCTACACTTGAAGCAAGGTCTGAGGAGCTACGCAGAGCTAACTGTCAAAAGATGGGTATGTTGAAGTTCAAACCAAAATTGACCCAAGTTTCTTATTAGGTAATATTTCTGCTGTCTGGATTCTGGGGGTGAGTGAAGTTTGTCAGGCTGGTCCAGAGCCTTGTTCCTTGCTACGACTCTCCTGTCTGGGTTGAAGGATGTGTGACTGTTTGTCAGGCTGGTCCAGATTCTTGTTCCTTGCTATGACTCTCCTGTCTGGGTTGAAGGATGTGTGACTGTTTGTCAGGCTGGTCCAGAGCCTTGTTCCTTGCTATGACTCTCTTGTCTGGGTTGAAGGATGTGTGACTGTTTGTCAGGCTGGTCCAGAGCCTTGTTCCTTGCTATGACTCTCCTGTCTGGGTTGAAGGATGTGTGACTGTTTGTCAGGCTGGTCCAGAGCCTTGTTCCTTGCTATGACTCTCTTGTCTGGGTTGAAGGATGTGTGACTGTTTGTCAGGCTGGTCCAGAGCCTTGTTCCTTGCTACGACTCTCCCGTCTGGTCTGAAGGATGTGTGACTGTTAGTGACTTTGTGGAACGAGGACCTTGTGGACATAATGGTGACTGGTAGAAGTCAGGAGACCACGAGGGGAAGTCACATGCCAATGGTCACCTAGATGATTGATGTCACTGGGGGCATGGGTGGCCCAGTCGTCTAAGGCGTGGCAATTTGCTGTGCAGAGGCTTTCCTCCCACATCAAGTGACACGCTGTGATATAACTGGAATACTGTTAAAAGTGGCGTTAAACCCTACTCAATCTGCATGCCGTGATATAACTTGAATACCGTTCAAAGTGGCGTTAAACCAAACTCTTTCACTGACTGGTTTATTAGCAAAGGGCTGCATAGGATGGCATTTCAGTGATAGTGTACCAGGTTACGAGTGTTTGAGCTGCAGGACTTAACCGTGAGTCATGTTTCAGCTCTGGCGCGCGAGAGAGACGAGTTGCTGGCCCTGCTGGACGTGAAGGAGAAGCTGAAGTACGAGAGGACGAGGAGCACTGCTTCGGACGAAGACTACGGCACATACTCATCTGCAGAGGTGAGCTAGTGTGACCTTGACAGGCAATAAATAAACACAGTGTACCAACACCAGTGGCGAGTGCGGGTTAGAATTGGGTCTCTAGCAACCTAACAGTCGTAGGAGGCGACTTAATGGACCGGGTGACTTGTGTGACAACTTACCCTGATGGTGTGGATCGTTGCTCACAATATCAATCCCTGGAGTACTTGCAAGCGTCCCTCTCACTGGAAACCTGTGAAGATCTGGGGTAGAATAGGTCTTCAGCAACCCATGCTTGCTGTAACAGACGACTGTGCTTGTTGTAAGAGGCGACTAACGGGATTGGGTGGTCAGGCTCCCTGACTTGGTTGATGCATGTTGTTGTATCCCAATTGCGTGGATCGATGCTCATGATGTCAATCACTGGATTGTCTGGTCCAGACTCGATTAATTACCGTCTGCTGTCATATAGCTGGAATACTGCTGAGTGCGGCGGTAAACAACAACACACCCACATGCACACAATATAATGCAATACTGTTTGTGACCTGGGAAGATCCAGGTTAGAATTGGTCTTCAACAACCCATGCTTGTCATAAGAGGTTACTAATGGGGTGGGGAGGTCAGGCTCATTGACAACTGAGTAGATCGATGCTCATGATGTCAACCACTGGATTGTCTGGTCCAGACTTGATTATATAGAGATGGCCTCCATATAGGCAAAATATTGCTGAGTGCAGCATTCAACAACAAACAAGCAAACATGTTATTGTATATATCACAACTTTGATGTGATGGAGATATTGTCTGCTACACAGCAGCGAAACACCAATGCAGAGTTCATTCTTAGCAACACTATTCATGCATTATTTTTTTAAGATACTTCTCACTGAAGAAATATTTTGCTTGTTTTGATTTCTGTCTCATTAAGTGAAAGTCATGCTGTAATGACATGCCTACAAAATTCTGTAAGATTGTTTGATTAAAATGTAAATTGTTTTTAACTGAAAATGACCGCCTAGGTCATATGAGGTCAAGGCCACCAGTGTCAAGGTGAAGGTAAGTCGTGAAGTAATTGTGCCACTATTACTACAATGCATTCTCCTCCTCCCCAGCTGGCAGTGTTGGGGGCGTGTCAGTGCCGGGGGACCAAGACGGAGCCATGTGGGTGTGCCCACGCTGCAGCCAACCTACGCAGAGACACCATCAGGCTCAGGGAGGAGGTAACTGATGGATTGATGCTTGTTTATATCAACTGTTAAAGTCTGTCTCATTGTGAGGGATGGGTTGTCTGAGGGCTGGAAGGGTAGGTACACAAAGTCTCAGACTCGGACGGGTACCTCGGATCAAGTGAGCCCATAGTAGAACCCCAGTACCCACAAGTGGTTTGTCATGTGATATATCATTTGATGACAATGACAATAAAACTCAATGGTTACACTAACAGGGATTATCAAGACCTACTGAGAAGACGATATTCGTTTTCTTCAAATGTCAGTAAAAATTTCAAAAAGGGAACTAGAAATTTCCTATTTCATCTTAATACATGTTCAGTAATAACTTATTTGATGACTGCATTTCACTGATAGCAGGACCAGTGAAGTAGAAGAGACTTAATGCTTATATTTTCATTATTGTATTGAATGCAAGGATAAAGTCCTTCTGAAATTCACCCCCCAAAATACTAGAATCTGTACTTTACAAAGAAAGTGTTGTCCCAAATATAACATTTGTTACATTTGACCATTTTCTCAATGGCATTGTGTGTTCATAAGAGAATATGACCAATTTGCCTTCCAAGGACACTTAGAGCCTAGATTCTTGCCTTTCCATATTTGCCTTCCTAGATAAATTCCTGCAAGCATTGCCTTGTGGCATAAATGTTAAATAAGTGCCGATATATTTATTACATGTGTATGTTCTGGAATATGAATACATGAGCACACACATCTCCAGTGTTTGTTGTCCTGCTGCAGATTGAGCTGTACAAGCACCGGAGGGATGAAGCGTATCTCACCGTCGATGCATACAGAAAGGCGTTTGAGGAACAGCTCAACAGGAACAAGTTCCTCACCCTGAAAATGTCGGAACTCACAATACCTGCCTCCTCCAAAACTGTCAAGGCCAAGGCAGCTATTAAGTGGCTCATCAGCGTCCTCAATGATGGTAATATATCTCTCTCGTTCTCAATAGTATACGGGGGCACGGGTGGCCCAGTCATCTCAGGCGCCGGGATTCGCTGTGCAGAGTTGCGTCCCTTAGGCATGCCAGAAACCTATGATTGTGGGTTCGAATCCCGGTTCGCCCCGATTATGTTTCTAGGTTTGTCAGCACCATACCCGTGCTCTTGGGTTTCACCGAAGTGGTAAACGTCTGATTCCTGCATCACTTGGGGCTTTCCTCCCACATTAAGCTGACACGCCGCAAAATAACTGGAATACTGTTAAAAGCGGCGTTAAACCCAACTCACTCACTCACTCACTCACTCACTCACTCACTCACTCACTCACTCACTGAATAGTATACCCATGGTGCCCTGGTCAGAATAGGTTTCAACTTCCTCATTGCTGGTAACATCCTCAGCGGTGTAGAGGATGGAGCGTCTGCCCCAAGAGCAGGAGGTCAATTCTTTATTTCTGCTTGTCTTTTGTTGATTTATCTTTTTGTAATTTTTAGTTTTTGGGTTAGTTTTGAGTTGTACATAATTTATGGTATGTCTATTGAATATGTGTTCCCCAATCTCTGTTGAGGTGTGTTGTCTCAGTTACTGTATATTTTTGTCTTTTCCATGGAAGCGAAATGAGCTGTATGGTTTTGTCGTTTGCATGGAAATGAATTAAATGCTAGAATCTGACTTTCTGTCTGTTTTGAATAAGATGATAAAGTGATTTTCCTGATGCTGCTTGTTTGTGTTTCAGATGACCTTCACATGTCAATTCCACACCATGGCCTACCCAACGGCCCTCTCTCCAGCATCAACACAACACTCATGACACCCCAAGAACTGATCACACTGCTCTCTGAAATGGTAAGTCTCTCTGCACCATCAATACACAGGATTTTACCAAGCTGCTCTGTGAAAGTCTTATAAGATATAAGAAGGGCCCTCACCAATTCGGTCATCAAGGGTACTGTGGTAAAATATGCCAATGATTGTAAGCAAATGGCTGTTTGGCAAGTGGATACTGTTTACAGCCATGTACCAGGACTATGATCCCTGTTGCCAGGACTATGATCCCTGATGCCAGGACTATGATCTCTTGTGCCAGGACTATGATCCCTGGTGCCAGGACTGCGATCCCTGATGCCAAGACTATGATCTCTTGTGCGAGGACTATGATCCCTGTTGCCAGGACTATGATCCCTGATGCCAGGATGATGTTCCCTGTTGCCAGGACTATGATCCCTGATGCCAGGATTATGATCTCTTGTGCCAGGATTATGTTCCCTGTTGCCAGGACTATGATCTCTTGTGCCAGGACTATGATCTCTGATACCAGGGCTATGATCCCTGATGCCAGGACTATGATCTCTTGTGCCAGGACTATGATCTCTGATACCAGGGCTATGATCCCTGATGCCAGGACTATGATCTCTTGTGCCAGGACTATGATCCCTGATGCCAGGACTATGATCCCTGATACCAGGATTATGATCCCTGTTGCCAGGACTATGATCCCTGATGCCAGGATTATGATCTCTTGTGCCAGGACTATGATCTCTGATACCAGGGCTATGATCCCTGATGCCAGGACTATGATCTCTTGTGCCAGGACTATGATCTCTGATACCAGGACTATGATCCCTGATACCAGGACTATGATCCCTGATGCCAGGACTATGATCCCTGTTGTCAGGATTATGATCTCTTGTGCCAGGACTATGATCTCTGATACCAGGACTATGATCCCTGATGCCAGGACTATGATCCCTGATGCCAGGACTATGATCCCTGATGCCAGGATTATGTTCCCTGATACCAGGACTATGATCCCTATTGCCAGGACTTCGATCCCTGATGCCAGGGCTGCGATCCCTGATGCCAGGGCTATGATCTCTTGTGCCAGGACTATGATCCCTTTTGCCAGGACTATGATCCCTGATGCCAGGATTATATTCCCTGTTGCCAAGACAATGATCCCTGTTGCCAGAACTATGATCCCTGATGCCAGGATTATATTCCCTGTTGCCAGGACAATGATCCCTGTTGCCAGAACTATGATCCCTGATGCCAGGAATACTGCTGTAACATGGCAGATTGGGTGATATTGCTGTAACATGGCAGACTGGGGTGATATTGCTGTAACAAGGCAGACTCGGGTGATATTGCTGTAACATGGCAGACTGGGGTGATATTGCTGTAACATGGCAGACTGGGGTGATATTGCTGTAACATGGCAGACTGGGTTGATATAGCTGCAACATGGCAGACTGGGGTGATATTGCTGTAACATGGCAGACTGGGGTGATATTGCTGTAACAAGGCAGACTCGGGTGATATAGCTGTAACATGGCAGACTGGGTTGATATAGCTGTAACATGGCAGACTGGGGTGATATTGCTGTAACATGGCAGACTGGGGTGATATAGCTGTAACATGGCAGACTGGGGTGATATTGCTGTAACATGGCAGACTGGGGTGATATTGCTGTAACATGGCAGACTGGGGTGATATTGCTGTAACATGGCAGACTGGGTTGATATTGCTGTAACATGGCAGACTGGGGTGATATTGCTGTAACATGGCAGACTGGGGTGATATAGCTGTAACATGGCAGACTGGGGTGATATTGCTGTAACATGGCAGACTCGGGTGATATTGCTGTAACATGGCAGACTGGGGTGATATTGCTGTAACATGGCAGACTGGGGTAATATTGCTGTAACATGGAAGACATGCATGATATTGTCCACGATGTCCATACAGTCCACATTGTCCCTGCAGGTCCATGAGAAGTGTGAGGCTCTGGCTCACCAGAAACTGGCAGCACAGGTGTTGGCCAACAAGGTGGAGTCCCTGGAGAAACAGCTGCGTGCCATCAAGGAGGAGGACGTCTTCACGTGAAGCCACGCAGCCAGGTGGCCATCAAGGAGGAGGATGTCTTCACGTGAAGTCACGCAGCTAGGTGGCCATCAAGGAGGAGGACGTCTTCACGTGAAGCCACGCAGCAGGTGGCCATCAAGGATGAAGATGTTTTCACGTGAAGTCACGCAGCACAGATAAACCCCTTTCTCCTGTTTTGATCTCGCTTCATATTGAAATCCAGATAACTTACTTCATCAAGAATATATAACAGTGTATTTACATAATCTAAGGTTTTCCAGTGAGCACTTTGACTCAGGTGCAACACATGTACTTAACTGTGTCTGAACATTGTTCTACTGATTATACTAATATCTTTGACAGTTATGACCTGAAGAAAATCCATGTTTGTTAACAACACATATTTTTATACATACAACTGAGTATGTCCTGTTTTGAGGATGTATTTGGTGGATATCTAAAGTTCCTGAGATGGCCAGGTGGAACTGTTTGTTTGTAACCACAGCTCAATGAAAGCGTTTTTGAGATTTATTTATTAAAGATCTAGTACTGTCTTGTGACTGTGGTCATCCCTTTCGTATACATTGTATATTTGTAAATGGTTATGTGCCTTTAAGATATAGTTCTGACTGGGTTCTGTCTTGTGTTCAACTGCTGTTTCCTGTTGTAGTTTGACATGCTCATTTGTTAACATATCACACATAAAACCAGTTTATGCTGTCGAGTGGCTGGAGTTGTGGGACATTCTGTAGCTCACATGACATTTTGACATGTCACATAACAAATATTCTTTGAAAAACAAAATATTTTTCTGTTCAAAGGATGTACTGAGGGCTGGTGACAAATATGTATTTATAGCTATAACTTTCAAATACTACAGAGCTACAGATAAGCTGCGTATTTGCATAAAATACCCCCCAAAAATATTCAAAACCCAATTACTTTCAATTAACTTGCGTACAGAAATGCATGCATTAAATAAAAAACTCAAATGTATAAAAACAGCATGCATAAATACCCAATAAACCTTTTTCAGCATTTGTAAAATTTCCTAAACACAGTGACAATTATGGGCCAATTTACTTTCTGAGTCAAGCCTATAGTTAGAACCCTTATATACGTCTAAAACATTATTATATTTTTTTTTAAATGTCAAAATGTTAACTCATTTCGGGAAAAACCCAATAGAATAATGAATAGATGAGTGAAAAAATATTGGTTACCCAATGAAAAATGTAATAACCCAATTAAAATAAAAACCTTTGAGTAAAAACTCAATTGCTCAAAAAGTTGTCTGGAGCTCTGTTACTAATATTGGACACTTTTGCCTATTTGACATCTTTTCTGAAACCACTAAAGTACTGTTGGAAATGCTGGAAGAATGCACTTTTTTTCATTTAAATAATTATTGCAATTAACACAGAATTCTGTTGAAATATCTTACAACTTCTGTTTGATCTACCTCAGGTTTGAAGTATTTCATTGTTAATACCAGGTATATTCTATTTGCTATTTCATTGGAGAAAAAGTCAAAACAAAATATGAAACAGACTTTAGAAATATACGGGGCGTTGAATGCACAAATGATGGCGTTAGTAAGTCCACAACCTAAGGTTGATTTCTTTGCATGATTATAATGTGTAATAGGGGCGGGCCGGGTAGCCTAGTGGTTAAAGCGTTTGCTAGTCATGCCAAAGACCCAGGTTCGATTCCCGACATGGGTACAGTGAGTGAAGCCCATTTCTGGTGTCCTCGCCATGATATTGCTGGAATATTGCTAAAAGCGGCGTAAAACCATACTCACTTACTCACTCACTTTAGAAATATACAAAAGAGACCTCTTTCTGGTTATAATAATTTACATGTCATTACATATTGTGTTTACAAAAACAAGGAAATATCATGAAATGCTTGGGGCATCCAATGATGCTAAACATATGGTGCACAACGTGGCGTTGTCACCTGGGGTAACCTGTACACCTGTCACATGACATGCGCCAGCTGGTGAGAAATCACTTCTGGTTGTAGCTTGTTTCAAAGTACATGTCACAAATGTGATATTTTTTTCTAAGGTTATCATCATTTTATCTGTAAACATAAGTTTTGAGAATAATCAAAGTTACAAAAAAGGCTTAATTTGCCAAATTATCACTATTTTGACATATTATATTTTTAGCATTTCCTACAGTACTTTTAGCCTGCTCAATGCACAAATTGTATTGGCAATGGTATCATATATCGCCGTTGATAAGTCGACCCCGGCCTGTAGAAACTTTCAAAATTTATACTTCCGTACTCGACGTAATAAGTGCCCAGGGCGCTCTAAAAGTTAAAAATAGGGGGCTCATATTAGAATATTATTTTGGTGTAAAAAAATAGTTGAAAGATCGTAAATTTCGTGGTTTATGCTGACAGCCGGAAATGTTTATATACGACAGATATATTTTGCCTGAATTTAATTGCCCATAATTAAGAGACATATAACCCATGAGTGCGTATTATACACGAATAAATAAGTCTTGTGTACATTGATCAATTGGAAGGGGTTCTAATTGGGATTGTTCACTAGCATGTATATTAGTAAATATCGCTGTGGGTGCTTATTAGAGCAGGGCGGTTATTACATCGAATACAGTAATTGATGTTCGCCGTCTATACTGCAATCAGGAGTGGAGAACACCAGCAGAGCTTACAGAGTGTAAACATTTCAATACAAAGTGTTTTTGTCTTTGGTTTTTTTACTCAATGCTTCATTGCAAATGGCGCCATGTTGTTCACACAGTGCAAGCTAAGATAGCTGTCTGTAAAAATAAAGTGAAAAGAGGCATTTGGTTTGATCTTCAGACATTTTCCTGTAATTAAATAACAAATGGATTGTTTAAATTTACTAAACTTCGTTTACTTTAACTGTCAGCATTTGTATTTAAAATCTGACCCACGCCTTCTACGACAGTCGATAAAAGCAATAGGAATTAAAAATGCTCACAGAATTTTGATCCACTCTGCAGCCATAATGAAACTGACCATTAATCTTTACTCATAAATCATTGTGAACTTTGATATGCTGTACATGCAAAAAATGTTCTAATTACATTTATGTATAAAAATATTTTCATATGTGATGATTCTATGATGTCGGTGTGGCCATTCATCTACTTATGTGTTTTTGACATCGCTGTGTCCATGTGAAGGTGACATTTTGAACACTTGACTCAAGTACAGTATCTATAATTGGCCTACACAATTCACATATGACTTTTAACATTAATAAAAATATTTGGTCTGAATTATCACTAAGAAACAGCTTTTTTGCGTCAAGTCTTACCACATTTTGTGTGTGCCAAGTGTCTAACTCTAGGGCGAAGATGTAAAGGGTACTTGTTTTATTGGGTAATTATTCTCACAGTATATGTGGCGCCACCTTGAAGCTGGCTCTCGGTGACCATTGTGATGCCATCGTGATGACCGGAGATTGCAGGGTATTGTTGATTATATCTGGTCATGCCACATCTTCCTGAGGCAAGGGCATTAACTGACTGTAAAAGTCCAGTTTCCACCCTTGCCGGACTAGGTTGGAATTTCTGGGCTCGATCGTAGCGCCACCAGGTTATCTCCCTTCTATGTCCTCCTATTGACCTATCAGATTCCATCTCTCATATCACTTTCATTTTCTTTAGACAAAATGGTGGCGCCCAATGAAGACAATCTGATCGATAATCAAGACCTATATTGTTACAACATGGGTCTTATTTTGTGAAGTGCATCAAATCTTGTGAGCACCTTGATTAAAAACATGAAAAGATTTAGAAAATATCTGTTGATGGTACACATGCTTTGTAAATCCTGCAATCGTCTGAAATCTGCAAAGCAGTTTACAAACCGGATGTCGATTTCGTTATGCGATTTTGATTGGACTATGCATAGACTCACTAGTCCAGCCAAAATATGACTCCCAATCTCATTTAAATCAGATCTACCGCTACCGCTAAACAAAGATCTGAGGACATCCCATTACGGGTCACGTCAGACCGACCTTGCGCGAACTTTGACCGACCAATGGAAGGACCAATCAGAAGGCAGCTTTCTTGTGCTTTACGGCACTAATTTCAAATTGGCGACTACTATGCATATTTTGACAAATTCTCGATTACAAATTTGAAACCTGAACAAAAAACATTCTGGAATGACTAATAGATGGTCTAGATTGTAAGGATACAGTTGGTAAACCCGTAACTATCGTTCGGTATACCTCATGTTAAAGTTTTTCGAGATTGCATGATTAGAAATCACATTCCGACTGTCACTTTCGTAATCTGGTAAGCAACGCACTGATTGGTCGGATGAAAGGTCGTTCTGACGTGACCCCTAATGGGATGTCCTCAGATCTTTGTTTAGCGGCAGCGAGAACTATTATAAGATCTGATTTTAATGAGATTGTTTAACGCCACAATTCCAGCCTAGCTCGGCAAGGGTGGAAACTGGACTTACATAGTCCGTTAACTCCCTTGCCTTGGGAAGATGATCATGCTAGGGACAGAAGTGAAATAGAGTTCAAGACTTGCCATGTAGGGAGGTGACAGCGGAGAACATGACTTGAGAAAATACCCCCTCAGCTACAGTCATACTTATACAGATCAGAACGATCAATTCATGTATTATACAAATGTTGTAAATAGGAAGTCGAAAAAAGGAGATATTGTTTATTTGTTTTGTAATTTATCTGTTTGAAGAAATGTTCAGTTGAAACAAGAACGAGTACCGTTTGGCTAAAACAAAAATATGTGTGTTTCCCGTTGTCTGACTAACCCTAATATGGAACCCTTCACACTAATCCTTTTTCTAATTTTCATAGACCGCCTCCCTGGTCTCGTGGTAGAGCATCTGCCCTGAGAGTGGAAGGCCGGGGTTCAATCCCCAGCCGTGTCATACCTGTCTGGCGCTTGGCACTAAGGGGCTAAAACAAGGACTGGTCGGCTCGAAGTCAGTATAGTGTCTGAGGGGGTATTCATGTTAAACTGCGGCATAGTATCTCAGTGAGCTAGCACTATAAATCGGCATCAGTCTGGACTAGTACAAGCAGCCACACACACATGTGCATGCACGTCGCTATATAAGTGCAATAATCTTGGACGCGATGTTAAACCCTATTGCACCTCACCTCTAATTTTCATAAGTTGCACTAGTGTAATAGTAAAAAAATATATTGAAAAAACAGACCTACCCTGTTTGGGCCTTGTCTGAACTAGGAAACATATATTTTTTTGTTTTTACCGAAGTACGCAACATGTCTACATTACCAAGTTCTGTTACTTGTAGACTTGGCAATGAAAAATTGAGTACTCACTCACTCACTCATGTTTTGGTTTTGTCATCTGTGACTAGTTCCATATTGTTTGTCTTTTGTTTACTTGTTTAGTTGTCATGACTTGGTTACAAGTACAGATGATTGTCTCCAGCTCCAGACGTTTTGTGTTTCTGTGTTGAAATTTATATTCGTGGCATGCATGGAATCGGTCACAATGTTGTTAACGTGAGTGTTTTGGAGGGTTGATTTATCTGGTTCTTAGGTTTGTTTCACATAAGACATTTGAAAAATAATCCATGCTTATATTTGTGGTAACCATGGCAACCAAAGTAGGGCAATAAAACAAACAAACAAATTAGAAATAAAGTATAATGACCTTTGACAATAAGTGGAGACCTGTTTTACTGTTAGGTGAAATGAAAAAAACATGAGAATGTATTGCCGCTGTTTGTATGAAATGGTTAAAAATGTGTATTAATATCTGTGTTCTAACCAAAAAACCTGTCAATTATCTTTCGGTATCTTGCCATGTTGAAACTTGTTTGTTTTCAATTCATTAGTAGCACTACTAAAATTGATTTTACCTCCTTTGAATTTTAGGCCAAACATTTGTACACCAACTAATAAAAAGGAAAAGTGTGTGTCTTTTTAATACAGTTCTACATTATAATCTGGTAATGTTTGGGTCATGAATACCCTATCCAGGGCAAAGGGGAACATAACGTATATTATGAGTTATCTCCCCTGAGAGGCAGTAAGTCAAGCTCCTTCCAAGCGCGTGACACCTTCGTTACACTCTCGGTAACATCGCTGCCACCAGTGTGGGCGCGGCAATTACAAGAATCTTGAAATTTGCCCTCTAACCCCAAATGTAGTAACGTTTATACTTTTGTTTATGTCTTTGGGAATGCCATCATATTTCATTTTGAAAAGGTTTACGACTGACCATGTTTTCCAGATGAATTTACTTTGCTTTTTAATAATCAGATTGGTTCGAGATTGCAGACTAACGGAAAACTTCTCCCTTACATTCTTACTTTATCAATTACATGATAGTTTTAATGAAACAGAAATTCAAATTGACAAACAACGAAAGTAATTCAGCAGCGGTAAGTGTATTCGGCGTCACGACAGTCGTCACTTGTTTGTAAACATAACGGTCCGTCAGTTGCGAGTTCAACTCCAAGCATGGTTGTGGCCACCTATCACAGTGGGGAGTTATGACTGGTGGCAGCGATAGTATAGAGAGCTCCGCGAACGGGCTATCGCTGTGAGGAGCTTGGCAGTAAGTGTTAAGGTCTTCATATACCAGACTTAACTTTCTGTCAGCCAGGGCTGAGTTGCACTGTGTCATCTTGTGAGGACTGCACCGATCTGTGTACGACTCCGGGATTGGAATAGCTGATAGGTCGGAAGATGGCTTGCTCTTCAGAGTTATCCCCCTTGGTGCTGTATCACATGACCTTGACCAATAAGATAACATGTTTGCTTGAAGATAAAGTGTTGTCTTTAATCTAGTGGGTGCAACAGCCTATGGTTAAGATCACCACTTCAAAAATGTTCATATT